TCACAATTAGTATTGTCCTTAGACGTGACAGATTGTAATATTTCTCAATAAATATTATCTAAAAAAATATAGCCGATTGGTATTTCGTCATTGAAACTGTCTGATGAGGATTAAATGTATAATTTCCAAACATTCTGCCTCTAAAGTACCTTTTATTTTATTTATTTCATCTTTTCATAGTTGATGACAATTAAAAAAAATATGCAGTTATAAACTATGAAGGAATTCGATATTTGACTGATGGAATACAAATGAGGAAACATATTTTTCGTGGTAGAAGACAAAACCCGTGAATAAGAGTAATAATAATAAAATAATAATAATAAAAACACATATAATACTCTCGGAAAGCAAAAGATTTTAGAAAAACTAATATCAAAACTAAATATGTAGGAGATAACGCAGAGTGATAAATAACTTCTTTACCAAGCGATACACACACCCTTTTTTTTTATCAAATTATTAATATTCTCCAAAATCTTTGTGAAAAGTTTCAACTTATCAATCCAAAGATCGGTAAACTTTGTCTATTCTATCAGATACTAAAGACTGATGAGCATCTATTTGCTTTGCTCTTGGATAGGAAAATAATTTGATTACAAGATCGAGAGAAAAAAGTGGCCTAGAAATATGTTGGGCCTTTTGGCGTTTCCCCAACACGTCAAATAACGAGGTTATATGATGAAAACGGCTCAATATTTTTGTAGGCCACCTTTTTTTTTCTATTTTATCCAATTATCCTACGATTGGATTGGTATTCATCAGTTTTTAGTACCTCCTTAAATTAATTACTTAAGCCCTATTTCCCAGAATTTTCGTAAATAAAAAAGTTGTAGGTTACAATAACAAGTCGTCATTCACGAGTTATTCGGTGAATGTTAATAATTTGGTAAAAAGAGGTCTGTATTGCGTTGTTCATATTATTGAATAGAAAATAAATGTTTCCACGGAATCTAAATGGATTTTCTATGGAAACTTATAGATTTTTTTTCCAGCTTGAAACACCGAAAATAAATAGTGCAAAGCATTGTAGCATTTTCTATTAATACAAAAATAAACATAAAATTGTCTTAAATCATTCATACCTATGTACGATATCTTGATACTAAACAGACTGTTTCAGAGTTAAGTAGTCAAACTGCAAAAATGGACTAAGGACCTCAGAACAAGAAAAAAAAATTCTCTCAAGGTATGTCCGCAAACGCTTTGTTTGGGAGATATTCACACCTAAAGATTTCCATTGTTACGAATTATTTACATTAAATTACGTAAATAAAGCTTATTTATTTGTTCCAACTACTTTAATAATTAAATGTAAACATTAAATGCATATTAAATGTTGTTTAAAGTGATTTCCTTGAGCATTAAGACAGGCTCGGCATCTTTCTTCAACAGCAGCAGTGGCAGAACGGCACTGGATATGTGTTATTGTTTCACAAGATTCAATCATCCTTCTTCGTAAGGAGTTAAGGTCATTAATCTGACTTGCATAGAACTTTTGTTTAACGTTACCTCAAACAAAGAAATCCAGTGGTGTCAGGTCTGAAGAGCGTGCAGACCAAGCCACTGGTTCTGCGCGGCCAATTCATTGATTGGGATATGGGATATGATTGAGTCCGGTGAATGAAATAATTCCTTACGAAGAAGGATAATTGAATATTACATGTATTAATTGATTGATCGATAATTGAAACAATGACACATATTCAGTGCCGTTCTGCCTGTGCTGCTGTTGAAGAATGATGCCGAGCCTGTCTTAATGCTCAAGGAAATCACTTTGAACAACATTTAATATAAATGTTAATGTTTACATTTAATTAATAAAGTAGTTAGAACAAATAAATAGGCTTTATTTATTTCATATAACGTTAATAATTAATAACAACGAAAATCTTTAGGTGTGAATATCTCCTAAACAAAGCGTTTGCGGGTATACCTTCAGAGGAAATTTTTTTCTTGTTTTAAAGTCCTTAGCTCATTTTTGCTGTTTGACACACACGATAAAACTAAAATACACATTTCTTTTAACATATATATTGATACATTCGCATGTATATATGTATATATATATATATATATATATATATATATATATATATCGGATCGAGAGGGGTTTGAATTTGCGACAATTGTTGAAAGAGAACGGCGTTGAAGGGACAACCTTCCTTCACTGTATCTTGAAGCATTAACGAACTCGATTGCGCTAACCTTGGAGTTTGCGTTTCCGCCTTCTCAAGCTTCTTCTACATTAGGTTACTTTCTAATTTTATTATCATTTTATGACACCGTATACCGCTGGCTATAAAATTATAAGTAATATTTTTGTTTTTAAATATCATTTCGATTCCTTAGAGTCGAACATTACTCCATTGTTGTCACTAGTGCTTGAAATGAAATTTTTATTTTTATTTTTGATCAGTTTTGGTATGAATGGAATCTTTAATTTCAGTTTGTTTCTGTTATTTCGGAATTAATACCCTTGAAAATTTTCAAGTAAACATTTTTACAGTACTTTCGTTAAAAAAAAAAAGTACTCGGACTGAAGTCCTCCCTCCATATGGTAAAATATAACCAAGTGTTATAAAAAAAAATCTCTAAAAGTATTATTCAGTTGTTTGAAATATTATGGCAACTTCCATAATGCATACAAATTAGGTATTTGTTCTCGTTTACTTGTAGTTTACGTTTCGGGATACAATCTTCATCTTCATTCAGAAACTAATCTTTTTAAGTTGGAATAGTCAATTTTCCCAACAAATGAAGAAAAGAAGCAATTTCTAAAAGTATTATCATTTCTCTAGTTACATTTGATAGGGCTTCAAGAATCACTTAAACCCTATTCCATATAGGTATTTAGTTTCTTTATTTTTTTTTCTCAAATAATTATCGTTATATATATTAAAGGTTTTGGCTGAAGCCCACTTTTTATTTAGTAAATAATCAAAATGAATTATTATCGTTGCAGTCCATAAAGTGAATATTGTGGGATAGTTTGGTAATTCTAAGATGACAGGCATCATCTTGTCAGAATACAACACTTTTTGAAGACTTTATTTCGTAATTTTGGCCACTAATGTATACCATTACTACAACAATGAAAATCTTTAGGTGTGAACATCTCACAAACAAAGCGTTTGCGGACATATCTTCAGAGGATTTTTTTTTTTCTTGTTTTGAGGTCTTTAGTTCATATTTTCAGTTTGGTCACTTAACCCTGAAACTATAACAGTATACATACATACATATGTGGCACGACATCCCGTTACTGAGACTGGGCCTCGTCCAAGAGCCTCCGCCAGTTGGCTCTGTCTTCTGCTGCAGCTCTCCAGTTCCGTACACCAAGCACGGTTCTCGCATCATAGGCCACGTTGTCCAACCATCTCATCCTCGGCCTTCCTACCCGTCTTGCAAGGTGCAGCTCCTCCATCATTATTTTCTTGGGTATTTCAACGGTGCTCATTCTGGCCACATGCTCTGCCCATCTTAATCTGGCAAGTTTAATATATGTGACTACATCGATGTCTGTATAAAGAGAACCATACATCCTTCTTAGGACATCTCGCTCGAACACAGTCAGCTTCATCACATCACTTTTCGTCATCGTCCAAGCCTCTGAGCCATATGTCAAAACAGGCCTTACAAGTGTCTTGTATAGAATCAGCTTGGTCTTCTTTGAGAGATACCTACTTCTTAAGTGTCGGCCAAGTCCAAAGACACATCTATTGGCAGCCGTGATCCTTATCTGTATTTCTTGAGCCATGTCATTTTTCCTATTTATTTCAGACCCAAGTTATATAAAACTTTTTACTCTCTCAAACTTAAAAGAGCCTACCTCAAATGGAGAGTTCAGATCCACCTCACCACCAACTCTCATATATTTAGTTTTCCTCTCATTGACTTCTAGACCAAGTCGTCTTGCAGCTGCTTCAAGGGCTATAAACGCTTCTCTGAGAGCCCGTTCAGACCTTCCTATTATGTCAATATCGTCAGCAAAACCAAGAAGCTGTGTCAGGCGATTGAAGATTATATCGCTGGTCTGAATACCGGAATCTCTTACATCTTTCTCCTCTTCCAAGTTGAATAATAGACAGGCGAGGGCATCCCCTTGCCGAACCCCACTGCTCACTTTAAACTCTTCGGAGTCATCAGAACCGACGCGTATTCTACATTTCGAGCTGTCCATGGTCATCTTGATTAAGCGTATAGGCTTCTGACAGTATAACAACCCGATTTATTCAGGGAGCATTATTTATTAATAACCTACCACTAATAAACCATGTTAAATTTTGTTTATAATTAAAATTTTTAACATGAGCGAAACGTCATGAAATATAGTGTTAAATGAAATATTTTTCTAGTCTCAAGAATTCCTTTTTTCTTTGTTTTTTTTTCATAATAGAAATAAACCCATAATAAATATAGTAATATTCAAAATAAAACTTTTACTATAAGATAGCCTAAAGTTTTACATCTATTGTATGGATGAAATAAATATTTCATAGCTTAGCGATAGTCGAATGACTCATAGTTGTTTAATGTTTTGCGCGACATCCAGAATTCTCTACACAAATATTGTTTGTTATTCGAATATATATATTTTTTTTTTTTTTGGTGGGCCGAAAATGACTCACACAAGACAAGCTTTCAAATGACTTCAAAGTAAACAAAACAGTCCCGTTAAAACTGTCCCCATTCGCCTTCCTCAGCAATAAGACATCGCAAATTCGACTATCGTTTCTAAAGAAACGTTTGAATTTAAGAACATGAATAACAATTTTTCAAATAATCAATGACCCATCTCAAGTTTTGGCAAATATTTTAGGTAACCATCAGAACTACAAGTGCGTTTGTGTTATTTACCCTGCCCGACGTACGATCTATCCTAGATTTATAATAATCAACTATCATTTAAATTATATTAACAACATACATATATATGCAACTCAATAGCTCGTCTATTTTTTTACCTCAAGTAATTTATAATATATACATTATTTCAGGGTATGAAATGAGTTGTCAATGCTCATTCGATGATACCTCTTACCTGTCTACCTACTGCGGTACAGCAGCCAACATCACCGTCCTCATGTCCTTGGTCGACATCATGCTGAGGAGTAACTGCAGGATAGCGGATCCATGCCGAAGAGCTACACCCTTCGCCTTTTATCGCCCTGAGGAGTACGATTTCATAGTCGTTGGAGGAGGAGTTGCAGGTAATAGATACTGAAAACTACACTTGTTTATCAACATGGATAAATAACTATTATGGATGAAAGAAGTAAACTCTATTAATATTCCACGACTTTTTCAAAACTTTCGATTCCTTTGACCATTCTACATAAGCGCAGACTTTCGATTTTGATTGGGAGAGGGATGGACAAAAAAACAAAAAAAAAAAAAAAGTATGGCGGGAGTAGTTATTATGTGTAAAAGTTTAAAATAATTATTATGAAACGAACAAATGTAATATTTAATATTTAAAGTTAATAATTTGTTTATATGATTCAACAGTTGTGAGGATTTTTTTTGTTTTACTAGAAGATTTATAGTAGACATCAAAATCTACAAAAAAGTTCGTATAAGCAATTACCCAATTTCCAGCAGACAAGTAAGAACTTTGTAGGTTTTTTTTTTGCTAGTCACGTTTTTTATGAATAGGTAGCGATAAAAAAATTAAATTCAATTAAAAATTAAAAAATATTTGATTTAAGTAATTAAACATTGCTCCATAGTAAATTAGATAAAATTTGTTTTAAAAGAAAGTAGAGTTTGTCATTTGTTAAAACTATTTAAAGAGGACTATTGAACTACAAACACATAAAAAAGTCATAAATTATTTGTCACTCAGTCGCTTAAATTATCACTCCTTAATAGTACTACAGGTACCTCACTTTTAGAAAAACATTCTCCTTCAATAAGCTTTAAGTCCTATATTAATTAAGTCGAGGTTTATCAGGAAAATTTTTGAGATTCACCTCAAGTATTGTAAAGAAATTATATGATTTTTTATGCAGGTACCTAAACGTGTCCGTGTTTTTAGCAAAAATTACTACAATTATTACAAAATTACTGTTGCAATGCTTTTATTTCTTCTTTTCGTGATATGAGATGTATTGCAATAAACACAATTGCATTAATGTGTTTTTAATGAGAAACTTTAAGTTTGTCACTTATAAATACGCATCAATTCCTATGACAGAAATCTGAGAGAAAAAAACAATTTCATAACTTCCTTATATGAAAAATCATTATTTTTAAATTATATATTTTTATGAATAAAAGGTGTTTTTATAATAAATGCGTTTTAAAAAAATATTTTATTCATAAAAAAATACAATTGCATTAATGTGTTTTTAGTGAGAAACCAAAGTTTCTACCCCTGATATTTACCTTTTCACGAAAATGATTTAAACAATCAGTAAGTTTCTTTATTTTAAATGTAAATTTTAATAAGAAACATTTAGTTTGTCACTGATAAATACATATCAATTCTTATGACGGAGATCTGGGAGAAAAACACAGTTTCATAACTACTTTACATAAAAAATATTTGAAATATCATTATTTTTAAATTACTTAAATTTATTAATAAAGTATGTTTTTAGGCAATTATGTTTATTACAATACATCCTATATGACGGAAAATCAAGAAATAAAAGCCTTGCATCAGTTAATTGCAGTAATGTTTGCTAAAAACCAGGATACTTTTAGGTGATTGCATAAAAAATCACATCATTTCTTTACAAAACTTGAGATGAATCTCAAAACGTTTTCCAATAAACCTCAACTTAAATAATATAGGATTTAAAGCTTATTAAAGGAGGATGGTTTTTCTAAAGGTAGGGCGGGGCAACCGTAGTACAGTTGAAGGGTGAGTGACAAATAATTTATGACTTTTATTTTAAACAGAACTTAGCTGTATTTGTCCTCTCAATAGTCAATTAACACTTTAAATGGTTTTAACAATGACAATATCTACTTTCTTTTAAAGTAAATTACTTGGAGTAATATTTAATTCCTTAAATCAAATATGCTTTTAATTATCGCTTCCTATTCAACAAAAGTTGTGACTCAACAAAAATCACACATCTGAAATTTCCTACTTTCTGCTGGAAAATAGGCAATTGGTGATAGGAACTTTTTTGTAGATCTTGGTGTCTACTATAAACCTTTCTAATATTTCCCTCTACTTACGGGACACCCTGTACATACTTGAAAATATCTAAATAACAATAAAATTGAATATACAACGTATTTGTTTAGATTAAAAACAGAGGGGAAGGAGAGACAATCTTCATAATATTGGCACATTTCTATAACTTTTTCAGCTAAAAATAAATAGTGTAAAAAAAGTGAAAAATATCTTAGATTTCTTAGTATGTACAACCTAAAATAAAAATATCTTTCCTTTATTTTCACTTTAGAACTGACAGTTCTAAGTGAAACTCCTAGCTGAACAAACTTCCCTGAACAAGACCTGCAAAGTCGGGTCGAAACGTTGGTTTTTAATAAAATAGTTTTACCACTATTTAGCCTATTTATGACCACCACCCCGGACCATCTTCTTCCTTTACAATGCAACAGTCAACTATTAAATATTCAATATGACTTAAAATAAAAATACAATGTTTTTCTCAATCTGGCTAGTTTTTCGCGGAGAATATGATAAGAATATCATGTGAAATTTGAGGGGTGATTAAATCATAAAATCCTAGAATATGTTGATATGTATTATTATCTTTGAATTTAAATGACAGTTTAAATAAAAGTAACTTTTACGTATCAATAAAATAGTCGACTTTTCTTAATCGATTTTAGTTTACACATTTTATTCATTTATGTAGCTTATTTATTATTGATTTTAATTTTTTTTTACATCAAATTATTGGGGGGAGGGAGGGGAGGGATGGAGGGAGGGCAGAGGAGGCAGAGTTGAGGTATCTGAATCGGTTCAGGGTTTATAATGGACCCAGGGCCACTACAAATCCTCAACGAGTTGAGATAGGGTTAGTAAATACGCTTCCTGTACTCACAGAATAAGACCAATCCTTCCAGAGAAGGAGAGGAGTTGTCAACATTAAAATATTAAATCATAAATATAAAATTTTAAAAAAAACAGGCTAGAAAATTATTTTTATAAATTATTCCAATGCATTAATTATTGATCATTAATTTTACTGGATTTAATTGTTAAAAAATATTAAATTTAAAACTATGTAACCGTATAATTTGTTTTACAGGTACGTATGTTATGAATTAGCCTACAGGCGTCAAGAAATATAATTATAGATTTAAAAAAAAATTATTTATTGAATAATATAACTTCCTGTCACTTGGACAATTGGCTATTAATAATAGGAGCTAGAGATAATTTGAGTATTAATGGAATTTTATTCGAGGAAAGTTCATCAAGACATTGTAGTTTTAAAATTCTAGTTGTTCCACAAAAGAAATTTCCGGCACCCGTTTTAAAATTTATAACGCTAATGTGCTCTCTGATATAAAGACTGCTTCTAAGTATTTTAAATTTTAATCAGGATTATCGCGATGGAGAATCAATGAGCTCTTAAAATCGAATGTATTTTTTATGTCCAAAGCATGTTTATTCAATGCGTTTTTTTCCCTTTATTATTGTTTTATTAATCTGTACAAGAATTTTTATGTTGGTAAACCATGTTACTAAGGTTTTGAGATGAGGTCCCAATGTTGTAATTAGGACAGCGTAGACAATTTATTTTGTAAATTAACTTGTGTTCCAGGTTCGTAACTATTTTATCTTTAAGTGGTGTCAAATTTTGGTGCAGCTTATTAGAGATTTTATATGCTCTCTTAATTCAATCTATATGATATCAATGATTGTTTTGTTTTTTAGCGATTCGAAGACTATTAAAGCCTAAATTATAGTTTTAATTAATTTTCCACTAATGACAGGTGAGTAATAAATCACAATTAATAAAATTGCGGGTAAACATTAGAAGTAATGCAATAAAATAATTATGTAGAGAATGTAAAATTTACATATATTTTTTTTTTTACTTAGAGTATTTGAAGTTCAAGTCCTCTCCTCAATACTTTCAATAGCCCTGTCTGGTATATCAGTGAGAATAAGGCTTAGTTGGTATTAAAAATCAATTAATTATATATTGATATGAGATTAATCAAAGTCAAAAGTTTTCGAGAAATCGTAAAAATGAGTATTCGGTTATATAAAGAGGCACTTAATGTTAGCCGATTTGAGTGAAAAATTACTTTAACATCTCAGTAAGACATAATTTCAGTTTTGTAATACGCAATTTCAGTTGTAGTTTTGCATAACACAAAAAAAAAAATAGACCTTTTTTGAGACTTATGGAATAAAGTCGTTTTATTTATGAAAACCTAAATTTATACATGAAAAAAACTGCAGAAATGTGTGAAATCAATGATATAAGGTACCTCTTCTGGTAGGTCCATTTTACGAAAAACGTAAGCCAAATGTGGATAGTGACCAACAACTAGTGATTTATAATTTCCACTTTTATATTATTTAATGGAAACTGTATGTTCATAAACCAAATTAAAGATATTTTAGAGGGAAAACATTGGGCATTTAAGCACTGTTAGGTGACATTAATGATGATAAGTAAAAATTATAGTTATTAAATCTATCACTCTAACATGTATTTAAATTCTTATTTTAATCCTAGTATCAATACCTTAAATATCTTGTACCTGAAGAGGATAAACTGGATCAGGCACATGAAATTGACTTTACATTTTTTAAGAATTTTTTCGAAAACGGCTCTGCTTGTTTTGATTAAACTCTTTAAATGAATTTAAATTAGATGGTCTTTAATATCAGTTAGATCTTGTCTTCTTTGAAATATGATAAAGGCTGAAATGTCGACTTTCTCTAAAATACCTTTAATTTTGTTCATTTGAAATGGTTAACCATCTACTTGATTTTTAGTAAATTATTTGATAATAAAATTAAAAAAATGTTGAACATATTTACAATGGCTCGCAAAGACTTCAACCGTAGACGTAATCAAATAAAGAGAATAAACACCAACAATTTATGTAGTTTATTAAATTTTAAATTAAATGACCTCATTCCCGAAAAGAATAATTATTTCGCTATATATATATATAATAAGAGTGTAGGATTAGATGTCATGGAGTGATGTGGTCTTCGATTTTTTTTTTCTGTCCTGACTATGCTTCAATCCGTCACAGTAAATTAAAAAATCAGAAACTCTTCTAGAGATTTGCTTATAATCTCATTTTAAATATGTACAAACTCAATAAAATTAAAATATTCAACTTTGATTATTTAAAATAAAAAATATATTTAAAAAAACAGATAATTTTACCTCACAGCCTAAATGATTTTTAAATAATATTAATTAAACTCAACACCTCGTAGGCAAACCAATATTTTCTGCCACTCCGTTCGGTCTTAGCCTGTTTCATTCTTCGAGGAAATATTTTTTAAAGTCTTCTTTGCTAGATATTTCGTGTTTTCTAATTTCTACCTCCAATTTTGCCCACAGGTGTTCTACCACTTTAAGATCTGGTGGCTGTAGTGTTGTTTTCATAACTTTGAAGCAGTTTTAAAGTAGCCATTCCTTAACTAACATGATAGAGTGTATGGGGTCATTATACAAGCCAGTGTAGTGTGGCTTGATACACGTACTGGAGGGCGGTACTGAGGCTGTTGGTGTGTCCCTGGTCTGGAGTATCGAAGCTCGATAACAAGTATTGAAGAGGATCTTATTCTATGTATAAGAAAAGAAGGGATCGAGACCTAATCAAATAAAGAGAATAAACACCAACAATATATGTAGTTTATTAAATTTTAAATTAAATGACCTCATTCTCGAAAAGAATAATTATTTTGCTATATATATATATATATATATATATATATATATATATATATATATATATATATATATATATATATATATATCAAAATAATTAATAATAATATATATTAAGTAGCTTAATATATGTGCTAGTGGACGGTGCTGAGACTGTCGGTGTGTCCCTAGCCTGACCGAAGCTCTATTTTTTAAAATTCTAGCTTTGAAAAGGATCCCATTTATTAAATAATAATTAAGTGACCTTATTCCCAATTAAGTAGTTAAGTTTAAATTTAATACTCAAAGGTCGATGAAGGAAAAGTTGTAAAAAAAAAAAATATATATATATATATATATATATAATAAGAGTGTAGGATTAGATGTCATGGAGTGATGTGGTCTTCGATTTGTTTTTTTCTTTCCTGACGATGCTTCAATTATAATTGAATGAATGTTTTTTTATTCTTTCCTACATAAGGCAACGTGGTTGGAATTTTCTCAATTATGAACTAACATTGTAGTTTTGCCTCTTGTCGAGATTTTTACTGGTTTATATTAGTGTATAGTATGCCGTCGGACAGTAATAATTTTAGAAAAATCAATAAATAGTTGTGCTAAAACATCAGCTTTAAGAATCATTTTTTTTATTTTTTTTTATTTAAATGAAATTTACAACTGTATTACATGTAAAATACAACAAGTAAATGTGACATTGGTAACAGGACATGTAAAACATGAAGAGAAACTACCCATTGGTAGAACTCAAATTAAAGTTCTATATTAGAAGGTCCCGAGGCCATCTTCTTTTCAGACGCCTCGGAGGGTTATCAGGGATCGAGGAGGAAGCAAGGTTTGAAACAAGAGGGTTCAGATGGTTCTGCAGTTTGTTATGGAAGGATAGGTATCTGGATTGGGCCAAATCGGAAACATATGGAACATTAAGGTCTTTATGGATGATTTTATTTGTGACAAAGTAAGGAGCGTTGAGGATTTTACGAAGGATTTTGGATTGTAAGGATTGGATACGGGAGGAATTCAATGGTTTAGTGAAGCTCCAAAGCTCAATTCCGTAAGTCCAGACAGGTCTTATTATTGTCATATATATGAGTCTTTTGTAATTGATTGAAAGCTTAGAGCGTTTGTATAGTAAGTGCTGCAGTAGTCGAAAACGTCGGGCGGTTTCTAGTCGTTACAGTCTGGTATGGGGGTTCCAAGTAGGTGGAGTCCTAGGTATAGGATTTGTTCGACAGAAAGTCATAGGTTTACGACGAAGAGTGAAGGTAATTTGATTGGATTTATTGGAATTTATTTTAATCCTCCAGTTTTTACACCATTTTTCAAGACTTGTGATGTGTGATTGGAGAGTTTGGGGTAGGAATAAATAAAACATAAACTTACTGTGCTGTTTTATACTGACCATCCCTGCCTCATTCCTAATGAAAGAATGGTCATTAACAGCACCCAACAATTCCAATTTATCTTTTAATCAATTTTGAATGTTGAACTTTTTTATGTTTGCCCAATCACTTTCCTTCTATTCTTGATAATACATAAAAAATATCCTGTGCTAGGTCCTGTGGTTGCGTCGAGGTTGAGCGAAAACTACAATTGGAAAGTTCTCCTACTTGAGGCTGGGCCTGAGGAACCTACGACGACAAGTGTGCCAGCATTTTCCGTCAGCGCGATAGGTACTAAGTTAGATTGGGGCTTCAGAACACAACCCCAAAAAGGAGCTTGTCTTAATTCTGGTGGAGTCTGCTATTGGCCAAGAGGAAAAATGATGGGAGGAACTGGTTCGATGACAGGTATAACAATTTTGAGTATTTTTGTTTTACCAAAAATGTTTAAATCATTCATTAAGGCCTTAGATTAACTATTGTTCCTTAAATTCCCCTTTATTTAATTTTTTTCTAATGCATACACTGAGAAGGATTCAATAAGCTTAGTTAAAATTGTAAATATTAATGTTAGGAAAGAATAAGTTTATAATATCTGTCGGTATATTAGCAATTTATCTAAAGTGTATGTTGTGACGCTTGATGCAATAGTGCAAATTCAGAAGGATAAGAAATATTATAACGTCAACTTGATAAGCAATGTCTCGAACGACTTGTTTACTGCTTACGGCCGCTGGCCAAGAATCTGCTTCCTTGATTATTTTACTTTTAGTTTTTTTTATAACTTGGAAATGTGTTTAATGACAGAAACTGATGACAAATCTAATTGATAAAGAAATGAAAACATTTTGTTAGTTAATACTAACAACTGTATGTAATATAAAAGTTATTTTGATAAGTTAACGCATTTATCTGACATGACCATGGCTAGTCGAGTAACTACCGATAACTGTTCTTTTTTACTAGTTCTTTGACAACCGATTATCGTGAATGTATTGATAAGGAAAGTTAGAAGTTCTTAGATTTATTTGGCTATGGAATTTTCAATACAAGGATGGGTATTTTTCGGGCTTTATTTGAAATATTAAAATCTAAATCGATAATTTTACTCATGAAATAATAAAAAACATTGGGTATTTTACATTGGATTTTTGAAAACTTTTATAGTTCTGTGAATTAAACATTTGTTTATAATACCTAAAAATATATAAACATTTTTAAATATTTTAAGGACATAAATAATATATATACATATAAATACATAATATACTATAATTACATGGCATGATTTTTACAGGAATGATGTACACAAGAGGCAACAAAGATATATACAATGGATGGGCAAAAAACGGTAATGTCGGATGGTCGTACGAAGAGTGTCTTCCATTTTTTAAAATGTCAGAGACTAATAAGAACCCTGACATTATTGAGAAAGAATATCACGGTACAGATGGTCCACTTGTAGTTCAGCAGTTTCCGTATCAACCACAATTTGCAGAAGATCTCCTTAGAGCTGGAGAAGAAATAGGGTACAGAGTAGGAGATCTTAATGGCTTTAACCAAACAGGCATTAATGTAGCTCAAATGATGGTAGAAGATGGTATTCGTTCAAACACACCTCGGGTGTATTTGAGACCCCATCACAACAGGAAAAACTTAGTAATAAAGATAAATTCAAGAGTAACACGCGTTCTAATTAATGAGCAATCGAAAAGAGCAGAAGGTGTCGAATTTATCGACATCGATGGTACTATAAAATGGGTACGGGCAAAGAAGGAGGTAATTCTCTCGGCTGGAGCCGTAGGTTCTCCTCATCTCCTTCTGCTGTCCGGTGTTGGTCCAAAGGAAGATCTGGAAAAGCACAATATAACAGTAATTCAAAACCTGAAAGTCGGACAAAACTTACATAACCACGTTTCTGTTCCTGTTTCAATAGTCGGTCGTTCTGCTTATTCAGATAAAATGAAAAGTAAATCTGTTCTTAGGGAATATTTAGACAATGGCACAGGCCCAATGTCTTGTACAGGACTAACTCAGGTTACAGCATTCTTAAAATCAAAATATGCTGGTCATATGCCAGATTTACAAGTATTCTTTGATGGTTTCTTAGCAGGTTGTTCTCTTTTTGCAAAGGAAGGCAATGAAGGAGATGATGATGAAGTACTTCACTTAAATGCAAGACCTACTAATATACTTACTTTGAGTAAAGGTTATTTAACGCTTAAAAGCAATGATCCTTTGGACTATCCTTTGATTTATTCAAATTATCTGACTGAAGAACGTGATGTTGACATTTTGGTTGATGGAATAAAAAAAACGATCCAAATTACCCAAACAAATGCATTAAAGCACTGGAACCTCAAGCTAGATCCGACTCCTAAAGAAAAATGTGCGCATTTGCCCTTTGAAACAGATGAATACTGGAAATGTGTTATTAGGTGGTATACTGGTCCAGAAAATCATCCTGCCGGAAGTTGTAAGATGGGACCTTCTGCTACTGATGCTGTTGTGGATCCTGAATTGAGGGTTCATGGAATTCCTAATATGAGGGTCATTGATGCATCAATTTTTCCATATGCTCCTAACAGTAACCCCATAGCTGCTATTATCATGGTTGCCGAGAAAGGTTCCTATATGATACAAAGTGCATGGAATGGAGATTACAGTCTACTTTCTAAAAGCAACTAGATTAAGTATCTTTGTAAAGAAACTAAAGAAGGTTTTCATTGGCAAACAGTGAGAATAATGTTTACTTAATCTTATCATAGAACAATAATGTCCGTGATATGCTTGTTATTATTAATTTTATTGTAACCAAAAATCTGTTATCAGTGGTCCCAAATGAAAAATTAAAAAAAAAATCCAGAACCTGAAGAACCATTAGAAATAGAATATCATCAAATAATAGAAAATTTTTACTAATAAAATAAAAATATTCTAATGTTTGATAATTAGTAATTTAAGAACATGAATTTGTTTATTACATAATGAAGAATTTTTTGTTTATTGTTATGCAAGATAGTTAAATGTTTATATTTTATAAAATCAATAAAGTATGAAAAGTCTGACTACATATTTGTCTTATTTGAGGTTATCCAATACCTAGATATAATAATAATAATTGATTTATTATTTAAATTTTTTTTTATCATCCATTTTGGTTGCTTTTAATATAAAATAAGTAATATTGAAAAAATGAAAATAAATAAAAGGTTATGTTGAGCTTGACCTACTTTATTGTGAACTGTTTATATTGGCAAAATATTTTAATCCGTCATGTTCCAAATTCATATCAAAAGTCAATGAATTTATGAATGATTTTATATTTTCTTCATGCATGGACACACCTACAGCTACCAAAAAGTGGTAATACAAATGAAAACATAAAATTTATGAGCTATGGTATCCTTAAAAAATAGCACTCTCCAAGTTTTAACTCATGTATCCCATGGATCCTTCTGAACCTATCCTAGGAATTTTTTTTTTCCAGCAATACTTGCCATCGCTAGTTCTCATATTCATATCAAGTGTTCACTCTACAGAAGTTCATATAAGATTAACCACAGTAAATCAGCTAGCTTAATTTAACTTTTATTAAATTTCATTCAACTATTCACATTCTTGAGAAACAGAAAACCAGGAAGTCATAAATGTGTTATCAGGTTTGTGTAGATTTTTGTCTAGTTGTCAATGTGATTTTATTTTGTTAAAAAAAAAAAAAAGTTAACCACCATCCTGCAAGTGCTGTTTTATTATAAAATACATTTCTGAATATCACAAAATATTTTGAAACTAGATAAGTTTTTTATAAATTAAATAAAATAATGAAATGATATTCAGCCTCCAGTCCTTACAAATTACTGAACTTAAAACCTGTCATGAGTTATAGTGGTACTTTTTTTTATTTTTTGTATTTCCAAACAATTATTATTGAATAAACCAGTTCCTTTCAATCCTAATTACACTTTTTATGGTCTAGTATATATTTTAATTTTTCTTTATAAATTTATTCAAATATTTTCATGAAACTTTGTATTATTTATTTTTCCTTTCTTCTTAAGTTATAATATATTTATAATATAGATAGATAGAAAAAAAAACTTTATTCTGGGACTAAGTCCCTTCAGAATAACAATAATGTACAAAATAATAGAATATTACTGGCCTAAACTTTTGAAACAATGAATAAAATTGATAAAATAAAAGAAAAAGTAAAGAAAACCTTAGGTGCACAAGCTATATACAATAAAGATAAAACTATGTACAGAGCATTTAAAATTATGAACAAAACAATTAAAACTATGAACGAATCACTTGAACTATAAACAAAATTATATATAAGGGTTGAACAACATAAACATACACTTTGAGAAATGAAGAACGAAAAAGAGATACAATGAGTTCATTTCATTTCATAAAATAAAAAAACTTTACTTGAATATATATATATATATATATATATATATATATATATATATATATAAACAGTTAATTATAATTGAATAAAAAAAAAAATGTATGTATTGAAATTCCTACATCGATAGTAGGAAATGCATGTACTATCTCTTACCAAGTATTATGATTATATGATTGCTACACAATATATATATAATATTAATAGTTAGCTGGTATCTGACTGTTTTTGGAAAAGGAATTGAAATAGGAGGTTTTTGAATGTGTATAGGGAAGGGGCATGTCGAATTTTGATCGGGAGGGAATTCCAAAAGTTGACAGAGCAGGCTATAAAGGAATTTTGGAATGAGGCAGATCTATGAGAAGGGGTGTATAGGTCAGAGGATCGGGATCTTGTAGTGAGGGAATGGATTGAGGACTTAAATTGGAGAAGGTTGTAGGCATAAGAAGGACGATGATCGGTAATGATTTGATAAAGGAAAGTGCCTAGGAAATATTGTCTTCTTAAGGAGGGGAAGAGCCACCCTAACTCAGTGTAGTGGTGGGAGACATGGGAGCGTCTCGGGGTCCCAATTAAAAATCTTACGAAGCTATTCATGAGCCTTTTGAGTCTATCACGGAGTTCCACCGAGAGGCCATCGTACACCACACAGCTGTAGTCAAAGTGGGGAAAGATGAGATAGGAAATTAGGAGTCTACGGGTATTTTGGGGTAGAAGATGGCGGAAGTGATGGAATAGTTTGAGGGTAGAAATTGCACGGCGGGATATATGAAAGATATGGTGATTCCAGGAAAGGGTTTGATCTATGAGAAAGCCTAAATTTTTAACAAAGGGATAGAAGGTGATGGGGTGGTTGTTTAGATAGAGTGAGGGAAAGTTGGTGTGGGATCTAAGAAGGGGCTTGGAACCAATGAGAATGGCCTGAGTTTTGGCTGCATTTAGCCTTAATCCATTTAAGTTGGCCCAGGCACTAATTCGATCTAAATCTTCTTGAATTTTGGCAAATGCCACCAATAACTCAGCGGGAGAAAAGGATAAATAGATTTGAGAATCGTCGGCATAAAGGTGGTGGGAACAATGGATAATTGAATCATTTAGGTCATTAATATAAGAGCTGAAAAGAAGAGGAGACATGCTTGAACCCTGTGCAACTCCAGAGGATAAAGGAAGGTAGGCAGATAGAGGTTGATTAGGTATGGGAACTGCTTGGGTTCGTTGTGAGAGAAAAGAGTGGAACCAAGAGATGGAACTATTGGAGAAGGATAATGATTTTAATTTGTTGAAAAGGATGGAATGGATAATGGAATCGAAAGCTTTGGAGAAATCAAGAAGTATAAGTATGGTTAGTTTTTTGTCATCTATTGCAGTCTGAATATCACTGGTAATTTTAATCAGAGCAGATTGTGTAGAGTAGCCAGGACGGAAACCAGATTGGAGAGGATCAAGTTGGTTGGATTGTTCAAGGAAGTTGGAAACTTGGGATTGCACTAACCTTTCTAGGGATTTAGAAAGATTGGAAAGGATTGATATTGGGCAGAAATCTTCGGGAGAGGATGGATTAGGCCTTTTGTTTAAATGAAGGACAATGGCTTTTTTCCAAGAGGTCGGGAATATTGAATTCTGCAGGGAGAAATTGTAGATGAAAAGGAGTGTTGGGAGAATTTCCGGGAGACATAATTTTATTAGTTTGATAGGAACGCCATCTGGGCCTACGGAATTGGAACGGGATTTCATTATAACGGTAATAAGGTCTGTGGGAGAAATGTCGGAAAAATAAAAATTATTGTCGTTAAAAGGTACCTCTGGAGAAAAGCCGGAAGGGGAGGGTAAAAATATATATATTAACATAATAATTTAATTGGGAATAAGGTCACTTATTAATTATTTAATAAATTACTAGATGTTCATTGCTTCAGTGTTTATTCAACGTTTCGATCCTGGTTTTTTATAAGTTAACAATGGGATCCTCTTCAAAGCTAGAACAACACATTGCTCAAGCGGTACACAATCATGCTTCCATATGTTTCTAATAACAATTATTTCAAAATTTAATCTACTTTTAAAATAGAGCCTGGATACCTCAGGCCAAGGACACACCGACAGCCTCAGCACGGTCCACCAGCAGATATATTAAGCTACTGGACCGCTAAGCGTCTGCCCACCCCAGTCCTGAGCCCAAAGGCAAAATATTACATACTAAATAATGGAAATTGCATCTATAGTATATTAACCAATTGAAAAATGCATCCATGATAAATATAACAGCATCAAGAACATATCTCTATCAAAAACTAAAACAGCTTGTATAACGACTCGTGGTTATAAATTAACGTATCAAAATTAATTAACATTAAATACATATATATATATATATATATATATCATCGAACTAACTTTAAAATTGTTAAAAATATAAAGAAATATCAACTACTTTGAAATTGTTAAAACATAAATAAATATCAACTACTTAAAATATATATACGCTAGTCATCTTATAAAATGTCAACATTATAAAATCATAAAACAATATTAAAAATTCAACTATAGTTCCCATTCTCTACTTGTATTCTTACCTTCACCAAATAAACACAACATCAACAGATAACCAGCCCAAAAATCAAACCAAATCCCTTATCTAAATTATACAAATTTTAAAATGTATTATACAAATTTACTATACGCACAATTCAATTTCACCAAATCATTCCGGGTATTTATTACGTTTTTGGTCCTTCCAATGTACATCATCTATAGAATCAACCGGTTTTGCTGATACTTTTCCATGTCTAGAATCTTGACTATATCGAACTCAATTTTATGCTTATTCTTAACAGCATGAATAGCTAATGCCGTATCTTCTTTTTTACTTTCAACGCCATATTTAACCCCCTAGATAGGTACTGTGAGGTCACAATTTTAGTTCGATCGATGATGAAAAAGGAAAATACCGGGATCAAAACGTCAATAAACACAGAGGAAATGAACATTTAGTAGTTTATTAAATAATTAATAAGTGACCTTATTCCCAATTAAATGATTATGTTTAAATATATATATATATATATATATATATATATATATATATATATATATATATTTATATTTAATGTCACTTATCTCTCTACAACCATCAATTTGGTTTTGCTGACATTTATTTGAAGGCCAGCTTTTCTTGCCTCCTTTTTCAAGTTAGGGTATGCCTCTTCGATTGATTGCCTGCTTCTTCCCAAAATCACTACATCATCTTCATAAGCCATTAATTACAGTGATTTATTGATGATTGTATTATTAGCATCAATCTTTACCTTCTTGATAACTTTATCGAGAACTAAGTTAAATAGCAGAAAGGGGGCCAATGCATCTCCTTGTCTCAATCCATTCATTATTTGTAGATGGGAGAATTTGGAAGTTAAAGCTTTTTTTATTTTTTGAGATAGGACTGGGATGTGTGGAATGGACCTGTATTGGCGAATCATGGTGGGAGATTGAGAGCAGTTTGTGGGATACTGGGGAACATGAGGTTTGGATTGATTTTTTGATTATTAGAAGTATTTTAGGTTATTAGTTATTAATTTTGAACACTCAGGTAGCCGAAGTTACAACATAGAGAGAGGAGAATTCTGTAACCATAAGAAAGAACGCAAATCTTATACACA